GAAAATAGGCTACCTTTCTTAAGAGTTGCCACCTGTTAAAAAAGTTTAATTAAATTAATACGCGGAAACGACTAAACGGATTTGCATGAAATTTTGCACACAGATAGGTTATGACCTAGACTGGAAAATAGGCTACTTTTTTAAGAAGTGCCACCTGTCTGAAAATGAAATTTTGCTCAAAGATGGTTTATGATCTGGATTAAAAAATAGGCTACTTCCTTAACCGGTTTTTCGATCAGAACGAAATTTAGTACACTTACTACGGATTTCGGAAGGATGGTCTTAGACTGAAAGTAAGTCCGATAACTCAAGGCCCCTCCCATACAAATTGGAATTTTCATATTACATACATATCTCTGGAAGTATTTGTGGGAGAGAACAGAAACTTGGTATAGTGATATGTATGTGAAATCAATGATGGCATTAATCGATTGATGTTTTAATCAGTAAGTTAATTCGATTAAATTCAATCTGAATACAGTTAATCATGATTAATTTTAATCTGACTAAACAGTTAATCGTAACCGCGACCTAAAAATTAATTTTTAATCGTTAACTCTTAATTTGATCAAGTAGGTTTGGTGATTAATTAAGTTATGCTGGAATTTCCCTGTGCACACAAAGCAAGTTAATCCGGTATGGCTAAGTCGGGCTTCCTCATCAATCTAAGCAATTTGGTGTGCATTTTCATTAAGATATATACCAACAAACGTTTTACAAACTAGGTTTGTAAAAGCTCCCAGTTTATGTATTACTAATACCAATAATTATAATTTTTTTATATTATGTACTTTTTATAAGTGTAAAACACGAAATAATTACAATAACTGGTGTTTGGTTTCAAACTCGGACAAACTACACAAATTAATCAGATTTTATTTTTAATTGGATTAACGATTAATGTTTTAAATTAATTAAACGTAATCGCAGCCAGCGATTAACGATTAAAAAAATGTTATCATTAATCGTACAGTTGATTACGACTAATTAATTTTAATCGTCAAACGAGATTAACATTTTAATCGTAAATCAGATTAACAGTTTGCCAACACTGTGTGAAATATATTCATATTGACGGAGAAAAATGGACGTTTTTGGATAAGAGGCGTAGCACCTCCCATACTGACTGAAAGTTTCATATTGCATATCTCTTCAAATGTTTGGGGTAAAGCACTCAAGCTTGGTATGGAAATACATATGTATGTATGTATGTGAAACTAATACCATACTCATGGAGAAAAATGAGAGTTATTGGAAAAGGTGGTGTGGCAACTCCCATGCAAATTCATTTTTCTATGCTGCATATCTCTGGAGGTGTTTATTGCAGAGGACTGGAACTTGGCACCGAGATGTGTATGATGGAGAAAAATTTGCGTTATTCGAAAAGGGGACATGGTTCCTCCCATACAAATTTACTGTTTTATACTGCTTATCTCTAAAGGTGTTCAAGGTAGAGTACTGGGACTTGGTACTGGGGTATGTAAAATCAATTCTAAATTCATGGAAGAAGATTAGGGTTATAAGAAAAAGGGGCGTGGCACTTCCAGTACACATTTACTTTTTCTTGCCACATATCCCTGGAAGTGTTTGTGGAAGAATACTGGAACTTGGTATGGAGTTGTGTATGCAAAATGTATCAATTGCTCATGGAAAAAATGTGAGTTATTAAAAAAGGAATGCCTCCCATACATACTAAAAACTTCTTAATACATATCTCTGGAAGGATAGAAAATCTCTCGAAGTATTTTAGATTTGTTATGGAGATTTATTTTATAAGTGCCGTACTGACAGAATACATTTCACTAAATGGAAAAGGGAGAGCCGGGCTCGGCCTTATAATCTAAAGCTCTCTTGAGGCATTTGCTACAGTAATGAGAAGTGGTATTTTATCAAGGCCAGGTTACTAAATTTGAGTTGGAAATATTAGAACCCGCCGTGGCACCTCCAAGAAGGTTACACGTTCACGCGTCGTATACCTGGAACCATTTTAAGGTAAACTTAGAGGGATTGATATCTTTCATATGCCTAGCGCGCAGACGAGATTTTATAATTTCATAGTTTTAAACAACCTAAATACCTTAACTCGCTTAAAAAATAGCGAGCTATAACGAAATGGGCACAGAAATAAAATCTAACATCATTAAATTATTTTTCATATTTGTATAAAAGCGCGGGGTGAAACCCGCGGGTATAAGCTAGTATATTACTAAAATAGTAAAATATCAACATTAGCCCCAATCAATTAGGTTACAAATATCTCATCGGAGCTGTGCCATCTGTTACTCAAAAGCCGAAATACAAACGCACACGCAATACTTTTTGTCTCCTTCTTACATACAACGCAAGCACGTGTTTGTAAAATGATGACCAAGTGATTTTGTAGAAAACTCATTTATGCCCATTTATTTGAATCAAATTTACGCCTTATGCTGGATTCCCACTAGGCATTAAATGATGAAAATTGTAATGACAAAGTTGGGCATTAAAAAATAGTCAATTAATTCATTTCCACATGGCATTTTTTAAATGCCTCCAATTTTTCGTCTTTCAATTTCAATGCCTAGTGGAAATTCGGCATTATATGGAAGAAAATGCGCAACACCCTCCACAAAAAAAAAATTCTAAAAACCAACTACCGATATTTTTAGCGACTTGAAACTTGCACATTATTAGAGCAAAATTGAATGGGCTACTAAACTGCATAGCCCAAATTTTCCAAAAATTCTGATTAAGTTTGCAATTTAGATGAAAATTATTTAAGTTTGATTCACTGTTGTGAAATTTGTGCAAGCTTTGAAGCTTACATTTATGTCGTTTCTGTTATACATAGATTGAATTGTATTTTAAATGAAAATTATTAAAAATAAATAGATAAAAATAAGTTGCAAACAGGTGGCAGGTAACAAAATCAACGGAAATAAAGTCAATTGACACTATTTAGCATACTGGTGCGGCGGCCCGCGTTTGCGTGCCACACTGCGTCACACCCCGCCGCGCTCGTGCTCTAGAAGTTATAATTCTACTGGCCGTGGGACTCGAACCTACGACCTCGCGGCTCGTAAATCCGCATCACTGCCGTCTGTCAAGGCTTGAGGTTGATCAGATCAATTGCGCCCTTAATCCGGATCAAAGTTGCCGTCTGTCTATGTACGCGAGTCGAAGGGGTGAACCCGACTTGTGTACCAAATACAAAATTTTCAGGGACTTGGTACCTGTGCACACCTACAAGTGCTGCCGCAAAGCATTGCAAACCCCAACCGATGGGAAATAAAACGATGTTTCGAATGAATTAAGAAT